CTTGTATCTGGCCTCCTGCTTCCTACACCTATCTTCATTACATTACATTTGGTTGGGTTAAACTCTAACAACCATTTGTTCGACCATTCCTTCAGCTTGTCTAGGTCTTCTTGAAGCCTCAAACAGTCCTCTTCTTTTTTACTCCTCATAATTTTAGCATCGTCCGCAAACATTGAGAGAAATGAATCGATACCCTCCGGGAGATCATTTACATATATCAGAAACAAGATAGGACCGAGTACAGAGCCCTGTGGGACTCCACTGGTGACTTCACGCCAATCGGAGATCTCACCCCTCACCGTAACTCTCTGCTTCCAATTGCTTAGGTACTCCATTATCCACTGGAGCACCTTACACGCTACACCTGCCTGTCTCTCCAGCTTATGTACCAGCCTCTTATGCGGTACTGTGTCACAGGCTTTCCGACAATCCAAGAAAATGCAGTCTGCCCAGCCATCTCTTTCTTGCTTAATCTTTGTCACCTGATCGTAGAATTCTATCAAGCCTGTAAGGCAAGATTTACCCTCCCTGAACCCATGTTGGCGATTTGTCACGAAGTCCCTTCTCTCCAGATGTGTTACCAGGTTTTTTCTCACGATCTTCTCCATCACCTTGCATGGTATACAAGTCAATGACACTGGCCTGTAGTTCAGTGCCTCTTGCCTGTCGCCCTTTTTGTATATTGGGACCACATTCGCCATCTTCCATATTTCTGGTAGGTCTCCCGTCTCCAGTGACCTACTATACACTATGGAGAGTGGTAAGCAAAGTGCCTCTGCACACTCTTTCAGTATCCATGGTGAGATCCCATCTGGACCAACAGCCTTTCTAACATCCAGATCCAGCAGGTGTCTCTTGACCTCCTCTCTCGTAATTTCGAACTCTTCCAAGGCCACCTGGTTTACCTCCCTTTCTCCTAGCACAGTGACCTCACCTTGTTCTATTGTGAAGACCTCCTGGAACCTCTTGTTGAGTTCTTCACACACCTCTCTGTCATTCTCTGTATATCTGTCCTCGCCTGTTCTAAGTTTCAATACCTGTTCTTTCACTGTTGTTTTCCTTCTGATGTGACTGTGGAGTAGCTTTGGTTCGGTCTTGGCTTTGTTTGCTATATCATTTTCAAAACTTTTCTCTGCTTCTCTTCTCACACTGACATACTCATTCTTGGTTCTCTGGTATCTCTCTCTGCTTTCTGGTGTTCTGTTATTCCGGAAGTTCCTCCACGCCCTTTTGTTCAGTTTCTTCGCTTCCATACATGCCCTATTATACCATGGATTCTTCTGTTGCTTCTCGGATTTTTCCCTTTGGGCCGGGATGAACCTGTTTAGTGCTTCCTGACACTTTTGGGTAACGTAGTCCATCATACCCTGTACAGACTTATCTCTGAGATCTGTGTCACAAGGTATTTCACTTAGGAAACTTCTCATCTGTTCATAATTCCCCTTTCGGTATGCCAGCCTTTTGATTCCTAGTTCTTTTCTGGGGGAGATAATTCCTAGCTCTACCAGGTACTCAAAGTTCAATACACTGTGGTCACTCATTCCCAAGGGCGCTTCCATCTGAACTTCCCTTATATCCTACTCATTTAGGGTAAATATCAAATCAAGCATTGCTGGTTCATCTCCTCCTCTCATTCTTGTTGGTTCTTTGAAGTGATGGCTTAGAAAGTTTCTTGTTGCCACGTCCAGCAGCTTAGATCTCCATGTTTCTGGTCCTCCATGTGGGTCTCTGTTCTCCCAATCTATCTTCCCATGGTTGAAGTCTCCCATAATTAGTAGTCCAGATCCATTCCTGCTAGCAACAGAAGCTGCTCTTTCTATTATGTTAATGATGACCATGTTGTTTCTGTCATATTCCTGTCTAGGTCTTCTGTCATTTGGTGGTGGATTATATATGACTACGACTATGATTTTTTTCCCTCCATTTGTTATGGTATCTGCTATGTAGTCACTGAAACCTTCACAGCCCTGAATAACCATCTCCTCAATATCCCAGCCTTTTCTTACCACCAGAGCTACACCACCCTCACCTCTTCCTTCCATCTCTTTCCACATAACATAATAGTCCTGTGGGAACACTGCGTTTGTTATCGTTTTCGTTAGCTTTGTTTCTGTGAGGGCTATTATGTCTGGGTTTTCCTCTAGTACCCGTTCTCCAAGCTCATTTGCTTTATTTGTAATTCCATCTATGTTAGTCTACATTGCTTTGAATCTCACTTTCTTCTGTCCCTTTTCAAATTGCCTCCTTGGTGAGTGTTCTGCTGGTAGGGGAGGCTGTTCCATGGGTGTGAGGTCCTGTGAGGTGGATAACAGGGTCTCAGAGGATACTGGGATGAGGGGCGGGGGATCCAGTGAAGGGGGAGGGACAGGGAAGGTATGGGGTGAAAGGGGAGGGAGGACAGGAAGGAAAGGGGGGGAGGGAGGACTCGGGAGGAGGGGAGGGGTAGAAGGGTGGGGATTGGGTGTGGAGGGAGGGAGATTTGGCTGAACATTTGAGTGGGGGCAGGGAGGGTTTGGGATAGGGGGGTTTTCTATGCAGAGGAGGGTGGCGGGGTTGTCCTCCCTTCTGGTGTTACTGGGTAGCTGGTTGTGGGTTCCCCCCTCGCCTCTGGGGGTGTTGTGTTGGAAGCTGTGACTTCCTGGTTTTCCCCTCTCGCCCTGCACCTCTTCCTTGCTTCTGCCGCCATGGCTCTCTCCTCCCTTGTCATGTCTCTCTGGAGGAATACATTTTTGAATTCTCCAACGTTTTTCAGGGAGCTCTTCCTTGATAGAATCTTCTCCTTTGTGCTCTCATTTGCAAACACTATCTTTATCACTCGGTCTCAGTCTTTGTTGTACCAACCTAGCCTGAAAACCTTCTCAATGCTTTGCTCAGCCCCTTCCATGTCTAGTGACTTTAGTACTTCATTCACTGCTGCTTTGTCCTTGTCATTCCACTCTGTCCTATTAGAGCCTTCCTGCTCTTTAATATCCACAGCAACCACTGATCTGTTCCTTTCCAGCAGTTGGCTAGTGGAGCGTGCCGCCTCCTGTGAGGTGGCTGCTTTCATAGCCACCTCCATCACTGCAGTCATTACTTCAGAGTTATTTTTTGTTAGTATTTCTGCAAATGTTGCTTATATTGTGGCATTCTCATCCAAAAAACTATTACCACCTTCTCCCTGGATGATTTTCTGAGTCTCAGCCTCGATACCGTTCTCTATGTCTATGTTCTTCTATTCCACATTCCATAACATGGCATTTATTAACATTAAATTCCATTTGTCAAGTGATGCTCCAGATACTTATTTTGTCCAGGTCATCTTGAAGGGCATGACAATCATCTAAGTTTCTTATCCTTCCTATTATCTTAGCATCATCAGCAAACATGTTCATATAATTCTGTATACCAACTGGTAGTTCATTTATGTAGACAATAAACATCATTGGTGCAAGAACTGAACCCTGTGGTACTCTACTTGTGACATTTCTCCAGTCTGATACATTGCCTCTGATCACTGCCCTCATTTTTATATCAGTCAGAAAATTTTTCATCCATGTTAGAAGTGTGTGTGTGTGTGTGTGTGTGTGTGTGTGTGTGTGTGTGTGTGTGTGTGTGTGTGTGTGTGTGTGTGTGTGTGTGTGTGTGTTTTGGCGTGTTATGGTGAGAGGGGTGGGGGTTTAGCCAGTGGCGGCATAATGTAACACACACACACGTCTAAAAAAACTAATACCAATATAAGTCTCTCGGGATACTTTTTTGTATTTTAACTTAAATCCAAAAGCAGACGAGGAGTCACAATGACGTGGCCTAAATATGTTGACCAAACCACGCACTAGAAAGTGAAGGGACGATGACTTTAAGGTTCGACCTGGACCATTCTCAAGTCGATTGTTGACCAAACCACACCCTTTCTAGTGTGTGGTTTGGTCAACTTAAATCCGAAACTTATAATTACATTAAGGCACTGTACACCGTGTATGACTGGCTTAGAGAGGCACTTACTTCCAAGTCAGCGTCGCAAAGCACAACTAGGTGGTTTATGGAGCGATGTCCGCCTTAATTGTTGTCGTCCCTGTAGGCCTGTTGATACCAAATCGCCGCTGCCGGACAGTAGGATACCCCTATTACCTGCTATATATCACTAGGACTACAGTTTCTTGTTCCCCTTAGCAGCGTTATAGCCTTTTGTAGCCAGTATAGCTACACGTTTTGACAGCATGACTTATTCCTCACTATCGTAGCTAGTTATGCCACACTAACTGACCATCCCTATGTATCCGTGACGGCACTGATGCCTGTCGTGGCACTGATATCGTACACATGGTTTCTTGACTAATTACTATCGGACACAACCCCTGACATTGCTCTTTTCTAGTCTTACACTTCTCAATATCACTACACAACGATTTTCCTTCGTATCAACAGATCTCCTATATTATGAAATGTTTTCGAAGAGCGAGCGCGCGCGCGTGTGTGTGTGAACAAATATAAACTATTAATATCTGGGACTTGGGTGACTATTACTTAACAATAAATGGATCCCGGTGCTGTTGAATATAATCTACATTATTCCCAGCCTGGTGAGGTATTATGGAACCGGTTTCGCAAGACGAACACAACTCTTAATGATGCACCAAACTATCGTGGTTCCACAAGGAAGATAAATTATGATAATCACACCACTCTCGCTCTGTCATCAAAGTACTCAGTAAAGTGTAACTAGCATGTGTTCCTAGACTGTTGGGATACCAGAGGAATTCCAGAGGTTGAATTCCAGGTAGAAGGCAGCAAGGATGCTCACAATAGACATAATAGACTCACAACAGCAGCAACAAGCGTGTAGACACAGATCTTGGCCAGCACCCACCTTGCATCTGTCTTTAAGAGCTGCTCGAGGTTCTCTGGTCTGGCCGGGTACTTGACCACAGTGAGGCAGGCAGCAAGGATGTCACAATAGACATAATAGACTCACAACAGCAGCAACAAGCGTGTAGACACAGATCTTGGCCAGTACCCACCTTGCATCTGTCTTTAAGAGCTGCTCGAGGTTCTCTGGTCTGGCCGGGTACTTGAGTACAGTGAGGAAGGCAGTAAGGTTGCCCCGGTAAGCCGTGCCCACGATGAAGGCCAACACCAGCCACGCTCCCACCACAATCTGTGTGGAGCTCCTGCTGGGGAGGCGTCTGGTGAGGTCCTGCCCCAGAAGCGTCCCCACCACGTCCTGCGTCACCAGCAAGGGTCCTGGGGGACTCCTTCCTTCTCCTTCCTCTGGGGTGATGGTCACCTCCAAGCGAGCAACCTGAGAGTCAACAACAGTGAGTGAGACTTGCATGCACACAGCTTGGCAGGGGATCTTCTCATTATATATTTTAACATTTGCAACATAGACAGTGACTTGGGTCCTTTATTCCTAGATAACAGCCGTTTTTCTTGTCAGTTGTTCGACAAGTTTCGGCTCTCGATCTAACTTTAATGGTATAAAGACTTATACACAACAAGCACTCTATCAGGACATAAATTCTTCTCCACACAATACACCCTCAACAACAAATTCAAATTTATTTCAACATTTATTTCAACAACAATTTCAATTTATTTTTTATTTATTTTATATTATAACTTCTCCACACACCAAAAAATACATTTTTCCATTATAAATTTCCTCTGCAATAATATAAATAACCTAATCCATCATATAGGCAAAATCTGTTACAATTTACCAATCCACTCTCTGATAATTTATAAACTTACATATAAAGTCAAAGAACTCTTTACAAATAAAAAAATTGACAACCAACTATTACTTAATTCCGTTACATCAGCACGAACAATCGGTTTTATTTGTTACCCGCAACGAACACAAATCAAATCAAACACTTTTTTCATCATTGTTTGTATATTTATGATATGGAAATTTACAGCTAGTAACACTAGAGATCACGACCAATAACACTCTAATTTACGACCAGTAACACAGTGGTTCACGACCAGTAACACTGTGGTTCACGACCAGTAACACTGTGGTTCACGACCAGTAACACTGTGGTTCACGACCAGTAACACTGTGGTTTACGACCAGTAACACTGTGGTTCACGACCAGTAACGCTGTGGTTTACGACCAGTAACACTGTGGTTCACGACCAGTAACACTGTGGTTTACGACCAGTAACACTGTGGTTCACGACCAGTAACACTGTGGTTCACGACCAGTAACACTGTGGTTCACGACCAGTAACACTGTGGTTCACGACCAGTAACACAGTGGTTCACGACCAGTAACACTGTGGTTTACGACCAGTAACACTGTGGTTCACGACCAGTAACGCTGTGGTTTACGACCAGTAACACTGTGGTTCACGACCAGTAACACTGTGGTTTACGACCAGTAACACTGTGGTTCACGACCAGTAACACAGTGGTTCACGACCAGTAACACTGTGGTTCACGACCAGTAACACTGTGGTTCACGACCAGTAACACTGTGGTTCACGACCAGTAACACAGTGGTTCACGACCAGTAACACTGTGGTTCACGACCAGTAACACTGTGGTTCACGACCAGTAACACTGTGGTTCACGACCAGTAACACTGTGGTTCACGACCAGTAACACTGTGGTTCACGACCAGTAACACTGTGGTTCACGACCAGTAACACAGTGGTTACCACACTGTGGACGACCAGTAACACTGTGGTTCACGACCAGTAACACTGTGGTTCACGACCAGTAACACTGTGGTTCACGACCAGTACCACACTGTGGTTTACGACCAGTAACACTGTGGTTCACGACCAGTAACACTGTGGTTCACGACCAGTAACACTGTGGTTCACGACCTGGTTCACGACCAGTAACACTGTGGTTCACGACCAGTAACACTGTGGTTCACGACCAGTAACACTGTGGTTCACGACCAGTAACACTGTGGTTCACGACCAGTAACACTGTGGTTCACGACCAGTAACACTGTGGTTCACGACCAGTAACACTGTGGTTCACGACCAGTAACACTGTGGTTCACCGACCAGTAACACTGTGGTTCACGACCACCTGTGGTTCACGAACACTGTGGTTCACGACCAGTAACACTGTGGTTCACGACCAGTAACACTGTGGTTCACGACCAGTAACACTGTGGTTCACGACCAGTAACACTGTGGTTCACGACCAGTAACACTGTGGTTCACGACCAGTAACACTGTGGTTCACGACCAGTAACACTGTGGTTCACGACCAGTAACACTGTGGTTCACGACCAGTAACACGACCAGTAACACTGTGGTTCACGACCAGTAACACTGTGGTTCACGACCAGTAACACTGTGGTTCACGACCAGTAACACTGTGGTTCACGACCAGTAACACTGTGGTTCACGACCAGTAACACTGTGGTTCACGACCAGTAACACAGTGTGGTTCACGACCAGTAACACTGTGGTTCACGACCAGTAACACTGTGGTTCACGACCAGTAACACTGTGGTTCACGACCAGTAACACTGTGGTGGTTCACGACCAGTAACACAGTGTGGTTCACGACCAGTAACACTGTGGTTCACGACCAGTAACACTGTGGTTCACGACCAGTAACACTGTGGTTCACGACCAGTAACACGACCAGTAACACTGTGGTTCACGACCAGTAACACTGTGGTTCACGACCAGTAACACTGTGTAACACTTGTTCACGACCAGTAACACTGTGGTTCACGACCAGTAACATTGTGGTTCACGACCACATTGTGGTTAACACTGTGGTAGACGACCAGTAACACTGTGGTTCACGACCAGTAACACTGGTTCACGACCAGTAACTCTGTGGTTCACGACCAGTAACACAGTGGTTCACGACCAGTAACACTGTGGTTCACGACCAGTAATATTGTGGTTCACGACCAGTAACACTGTGGTTCACGACCAGTAACACTGTGGTTCACGACCAGTAACATTGTGGTTCACGACCAATAACACTGTGGTAGACGACCAGTAACACTGTGGTTCACGACCAGTAACACTGGTTCACGACCAGTAACACTGTGGTTCACGACCAGTAACACTGTGGTTCACGACCAGTAACACAGTGGTTCACGACCAGTAACACTGTGGTTCACGACCAGTAACATTGTGGTTCACGACCAATAACACTGAGGTAGACGACCAGTAACACTGTGGTTCACGACCAGTAACACTGTGGTTCACGACCAGTAACACTGTGGTTGTGGTTCACGACCAGTAACACTGTGGTTCACGACCAGTAACACAGTGGTTCACGACCAGTAACACTGTGGTTCACGACCAGTAACATTGTGGTTCACGACCAGTAACACTGTGGTTCACGACCAGTAACATTGTGGTTCACGACCAGTAACATTGTGGTTCACGACCAGTAACACTGTGGTTCACGACCAGTAACACTGTGGTTCACGACTAGTAACACTGGTTCACGACCAGTAACGCTGTGGTTCACGACCAGTAACACAGTGGTTCACGACCAGTAACACTGTGGTTCACGACCAGTAACACTGTGGTTCACGACCAGTAACACTGTGGTTCACGACCAGTAACACAGTGGTTCACGACCAGTAACATTGTGGTTCACGACCAGTAACACTGTGGTTCACGACCAGTAACATTGTGGTTCACGACCAGTAACACAGTGGTTCATGACCAGTAACACTGTGGTTAACGACCTGTAACACTGTGGTTTACGACCAGTAACACTGTGGTTCACGACCAGAAACACTGTGGCTCACGACCAGTAACACTGTGGTTCACGACCAGAAACACTGTGGTTCACGACCAGTAACACTGTGGTTCACGACCAGTAACACTGTGGTTCACGACCAGTAACATTGTGGTTCACGACCAGTAGCACTATGGTTCACAACCAGTAACACTGTGGTTCACGACCAGTAGCACTGTGGTTCACGACCAGTAACACTGTGGTTCACGACCAGTAACATTGTGGTTCACGACCAGTAACACTGTGGTTTACGACCAGTAACACTGTGGTTCACGACCAGTAACACTGTGGTTCACGACCAGTAACATTGCGGTTCTCGACCAGTAACACTGGTTCACGACCAGTAACACTGGTTTCCGACCAGTAACATTGTAGTTCACGACCAGTAACATTGTGGTTCACGACCAGTAACACTTTGGTCCACGACCGGTGACACTGGTTCACGGCTAGTAACACTGTGGTTCACGCCCAGTAACACTGGTTCACGCCCAGTAACACTGTGGTTCACGACCAGTAACACTGTGGTTCACGACCAGTAACACTGTGGTTCACGCCCAGTAACACTGGTTCACAACCAGTAACATTGTGGTTCACGACCAGAATCACTGGTTCGCGACCAGTAACACTGTGGTTCACGACCAGTAACACTGTGGTTCACGACCAGTAACATTGTGGTTCACGACCAGTAACATTGTGGTTCACGACCAGTAACATTGTGGTTCACGACCAGTAACACTGTGGTTCACGACCAGTAGCACTGTAGTTCACGACCAGTAACACTGTGGTTCACGACCAGTAACACTGTGGTTCACGACCAGTAACATTGCGGTTCTCGACCAGTAACACTGGTTCACGACCAGTAACACTGGTTCACGACCAGTAACACTGGTTCACGACCAATAACACTGTGGTTCACGACCAGTAACACTGGTTCACGACCAATAACACTGTGGTTCACGACCAGGAACACTGGTTCACAACCAGTAACACTGTGGTTCACGACCAGGAACACTGGTTCACGACCAGTAACACTGTGGTTCACGACCAGTAACACTGGTTCACGACCAGTAACATTGTGGTTCACGACCAGTAACATTGTGGTTCACGACCAGTAACATTGTGGTTTACGACCAGTAACATTGTGGTTCACGACCAGTAACACTGTGGTTCACGACCAGTAACACTGTGGTTCACGACCAGAAACACTGTGGTTCACGTCCAGTATGACTGTGATTCACGACCAGTAACATTGTGGTTCACGACCAGTAACACTGTGGTTCACGACCAGTAACACTGTGGTTCACGACCAGTAACACTGTGGTTCACGACCAGTAACACTGTGGTTCACGACCAGTAACACTGTGGTTCACGACCAGTAACATGAGAGAGAAAATGTGGCGTCAGTGATTACACACTCTTCTCACTGATTTTTTTTAAGGCAAGTCACACAAAATTCTTTAAAAAGGGTGTTTTACTGTTTATACACATTTATATGTAGTTTACACCACCACCACCCCGTTAAGGTCCACAGATCTTAACCGGCTACAATAAAGTAGTCTAAACATCGTGGAATATCTTCTTATTCTTTTTGATAGTGGGTGCACTTCGTGGAATATCATTATGTCATGGTGGGGCAATGTTTACTATAGCATCAGCGTCTGGGCACTAGTCCAATCCTCCCCAAGGTGGGTATAGGTGCCCTGCCTGTTTTAAGGATCCATTTATACAAGTGTTAAACAAACGTATTTGGTTAAACAAATAATCACTGGATATTTGCATTTATTTTGGAATATTATCATCATATGCTTATAGCTATTAGACGTAATTACATATCCTGATATGGATCAATTGAGGAGGCCTTCTTCTGATGGAGTTCACAAAAATATCCTGACGAAATATCCTGACTTGACACTTTCTGTCTTGGGAGAGTTTGGTTTGTTCTAAAATAGCCATGCGCCATGCCTGGATCATGTGCTTTCATAAACCATGTTATTAGACATATTATGCTATAATTTTGTTGGGAATTTCCACAGATGGGAACGGAGTCCTGCTGCAATAAGGTGTTCTTCGCTGATGCCGTGGAACTCTAGATTCACGTAACGAAGTGTATGTCATAGTGTATTAGTTAATAAGTTTATTGAATAGATTTATTTTACTATTACACATGCCTTTACGTCAATCCTCATTCTGCAGTACTGCCCCAGTGTCATGCTCTGCCCATTTTTATTTGCAATTTGTGTTAATAATTGGGTTGGCTCAGGGATCAAGCCCCAAAGCTTCTATACTGAATATAAATTCGGTGTGAGGACCTATCATTTATCATCTAGACTGCTGCAAGCAGATGAAGTACTAGTGATCCTTGTGTTGGGAAGTGTTCTTTTATTGCTTGTTGGCATCGAGGGTTGTCCAGACCTACACCTGACGCCCCACTCCCGCTAAGATAGAGGGACCTTGGTGTTTTCTGTCGCCCGGGGGTTAGTTTGATGTGACTTTCTGCAAAGTGACGTCTTACAGTGTGACCACCACTGGCATTGGTTCTGTTGCGTGCAATTGCAGGTTGGTACAGGATGCGGCAATAAGCAAACAAGAAATCCAAAGAACCGCCATACACCCACACACATATTTTATATACTCATTGCCACAGCACAGTTACCTCTTCCACAGAAAACATTGTACCTCAACATTCATGTTATCATCTCCAATAATGAGGTAGCACTTTACCACAATCCCAACACCCTAGGTCACTATTAATAACAGCAGGAACATTACACAAATCCTCCCACAATATGTACACTCTTTACTACATCGAACACATACTCATGGACAAAAAGGACACTCTCTGCCAACATCTACACTCTCTGCCAACATCTACACTCTCTATCAAAACAAACATATACTAATAGACAAAAAGCACACACTCTACCACAACATATAAACACTCAACAACAACAAACACATACTAGTGGACAAAATACACACCCTCTATCACAACATATACACTCTAAACAACAATAAACTCATACTCATGGACAAAATGTACGCCCTCTGCAAAACCCACTTGTACACGTTTTTCAATACTAAAAACACACATAAAACGTTTACTCACCAGTAGGAGAGTGGGCGGGAGTAGAAAGAGGAGGCCGACCACAGCCGCCCACACTTGCCCGCTGAAGGGGTGGTAGAGGCTCCGCCAGCGGGGCGGCAGCTGGGGCTTGGCCGTGGCAAAAGTCAGTGTGGCTTCATCGATCATGAAGGTGTAACTGAACTTATCTTGTAGGTGAGGAAAGATTGCCAGCCTCGATGGCCTGATGAATCGGATCCGCTTCTCAACCTGCTGCAGGATCTGTGGGTGAAGTTGAGCTGAGTGAGGGCTGTGCAGCAGGACTCAACGCTCATGCCCTCTCAGCGTCACACCATCTGAATGTCCCCAGTAATATTTTTCCTTCACCATTTGTCTCTATGTGAAATAAACCTTGACCTTTGAATTGGTCATTAAATGAATAGCAAATTTCAGAATCCGAGAGTTTATGATACTCAGATTCATTGAAAGTGATCCAAGAAATCATATGTCAAAAACTTTCAATTTCTAAATCAAAGAACATTAGTTACAAAATACATTTATTAGTGTATAGTAAGTATATATATATATATATATATATATATATATATATATATATATATATATATATATATATATATATATATATATATATATATATATATATATATATGTGCGAACAAGCCTGAATGGTCCCCAGGACAATATGCAACTGAAAACTCACACCCCAGAAGTGACTCGAACCCATACTCCCAGAAGCAACGCAACTGGTATGTACAAGACGCCTTAATCCACTTGACCATCACGACCGGACATAATGAGGTGATAGCTGAGGCTATTTGAACCACCCCACCGCCGGCACTCGGATAGTAATCTTGGGCATAGCATTTTACCAAATCACCTCATTCTTTGGGGCACACGTGAGGAACACAAATGCGAACAAGCCTGAATGGTCCCCAGGACAATATGCAACTGAAAACTTTTTTATATATATATGTATATATATATATATACACGAGCGCGTTTCGTAAAACTTATTACATTTTCAAAGACTTTAGTTTACAAATACACAACTGAATAGAACTTACACATCTCCGATTTTGTTTATATCTACATTTGAGTGAGGTGGATGGGGTGAGGTCGCATTAATAGGGTATTAATTTCATCAACACAAGACAGAACAAGAGGTGGCATTAATAGGGTATTAATTTCATCAACACAAGACAGAACACGAAACAATGGGTATTGAAATGGAAGTGATTGTAGAAAGCCTATTGGTTTCTATATTGGAGCGGAGTCTTGAGGTGGGTAGAATATAGTTGTGCATTAATTGGCTGTTGATTGCTGGTGTTGACTTCTTAATGTGTAGTGCCTCGCAAACGTCAAGCCGCCTGCTATCGCTGTATCTATCGATGATTTCTGTGTTGTTTACTAGGATTTCTCTGGCGATGGTTTGGTTGTGAGAAGAGATTATATGTTCTTTAATGGAGCCCTGTTGTTTATGCATCGTTAAACGCCTAGAAAGAGATGTTGTTGTCTTGCCTATATACTGGGTTTTTTGGAGCTTACAATCCCCAAGTGGGCATTTGAAGGCATAGACGACGTTGGTCTCTTTTAAAGCGTTCTGCTTTGTGTCTGGAGAGTTTCTCATGAGTAGGCTGGCCGTTTTTCTGGTTTTATAGTAAATCGTTAGTTGTATCCTCTGATTTTTGTCTGTAGGGATAACGTTTCTATTAACAATATCTTTCAGGACCCTTTCCTCTGTTTTATGAGCTGTGGAAAAGAAGTTCCTGTAAAATAGTCTAATAGGGGGTATAGGTGTTGTGTTAGTTGTCTCTTCAGAGGTTGCATGGCGTTTCACTTTCCTTCTTATGATGTCTTCGACGAAACCATTGGAGAAGCCGTTGTTGACTAGGACCTGCCTTACCCTACAGAGTTCTTCGTCGACTTGCTTCCATTCTGAGCTGTGGCTGAGAGCACGGTCGACATATGCGTTAACAACACTCCTCTTGTACCTGTCTGGGCAGTCGCTGTTGGCATTTAGGCACATTCCTATGCTCGTTTCCTTAGTGTAGACTGCAGTGTGGAAACCTCCGCTCTTTTCCATGACTGTTACATCTAGAAAGGGCAGCTTCCCATCCTTTTCCATCTCGTAAGTGAAACGCAGCACAGAACTCTGCTCAAATGCCTCCTTCAGCTCCTGCAGATGTCTGACATCAGGTACCTGCGTAAAAATGTCGTCAACATACCTGCAGTATACGGCCGGTTTCAAGTTCATGTCGACTAAGACTTTATGGTCGATGGTACCCATGTAGAAGTTTGCAAACAGGACACCTAGGGAAGAACCCATGGCGACCCCGTCTACTTGCTTATACATGTGCCCATCCGGGCTCAAGAAGGGTGCCTCTTTAGTACAAGCTTGGAGTAGTTTCCTTAGAATATTTTCGGGTATGTCAAGAGGAGTACAGGCTGGATCACGATACACTCTGTCGGCTATCATCCCGATTGTTTCGTCCACAGGTACGTTGGTAAACAGCGATTCTACGTCCAACGAGGCTCTTATCCCTGTGGCCCGTGTGCCCCGCAGTAAGTCAACAAATTCCTTTCGAGACTTCAGGCTGAAGGCGCAACGAACATAAGGAGTCAGCAGGCCGTTGAGTCGCTTCGCCAGTCTGTACATGGGTGTGGGTATCTGGCTAATGATTGGCCGAAGTGGGTTTCCAGGCTTGTTCCAAAGGTTCCAAAGGGTAACGAAGGACACTACAGCCGAATTGAAAGCAAAGGTCAACAAACTGATCGAAACTGTGAACGCCAAGAAATCCGGACTCCACCTGCCAAAGATCATTGGGGAATATAAACCTGGATATGCGTATGGAAATGTCAAGACACACAAGTCTGGAAACCCACTTCGGCCAATCATTAGCCAGATACCCACACCCACGTACAGACTGGCGAAGCGACTCAACGGCCTGCTGACTCCTTATGTTCCTTGCGCCTTCAGCCTGAAGTCTCCAAAGGAATTTGTTGACTTACTGCGGGGCACACGGGCCACAGGGATAAGAGCCTCGTTGGACGTAGAATCGCTGTTTACCAACGTACCTGTGGACGAAACAATCGGGATGATAGCCGACAGAGTGTATCGTGATCCAGCCTGTACTCCTCTTGACATACCCGAAAATATTCTAAGGAAACTACTCCAAGCTTGTACTAAAGAGGCACCCTTCTTGAGCCCGGATGGGCACATGTATAAGCAAGTAGATGGGGTCGCCATGGGTTCTCCCCTAGGTGTCCTGTTTGCAAACTTCTACATGGGTACCATCGACCATAAAGTCTTAGTCGACATGAACTTGAAACCGGCCATATACTGCAGGTATGTTGACGACATTTTTACACAGGTACCTGATGTCAGACATCTGCAGGAGCTGAAGGAGGCATTTGAGCAGAGTTCTGTGCTGCGTTTCACTTACGAGATGGAAAAGGATGGGAAGCTGCCCTTTCTAGATGTAACAGTCATGGAAAAGAGCGGAGGTTTCCACACTGCAGTCTACACTAAGGAAACGAGCATAGGAATGTGCTTAAATGCCAACAGCGACTGCCCAGACAGGTACAAGAGGAGTGTTGTCAACGCATATGTCGACCGTGCTCTAAGCCACAGCTCAGAATGGAAGCAAGTCGACGAAGAACTCTGTAGGGTAAGGCAGGTCCTAGTCAACAACGGCTTCTCCAATGGTTTCGTCGAAGACATCATAAGAAGGAAAGTGAAACGCCATGCAACCTCTGAAGAGACAACTAACACAACACCTATACCCCCTATTAGACTATTTTACAGGAACTTCTTTTCCACAGCTCATAAAACAGAGGAAAGGGTCCTGAAAGATATTGTTAATAGAAACGTTATCCCTACAGACAAAAATCAGAGGATACAACTGATGATTTACTATAAAACCAGAAAAACGGCCAGCCTACTCATGAGAAACTCTCCAGACACAAAGCCGAACGCTTTAAAAGAGACCAACGTCTTATATGCCTTCAAATGCCCACTTGGGGACTGTAAGCTCCAAAAAACCCAGTATATAGGCAAGACAACAACATCTCTTTCTAGGCGTTTAACGATGCATAAACAACAGGGCTCCATTAAGGAATATATAATCTCTTCCCACAACCAAACCATCGCCAGAGAAATCCTAGTAAACAACACAGAAATCATCGATAGATACAGCGATAGCAGGCGGCTTGACGTTTGCGAGGCACTACACATTAAGAAGTCAACACCAGCAATCAACAGCCAATTAATGCACAACTATATTCTACCCACCTCAAGACTCCGCTCCAATATAGAAGCATCAAGAAATATGGACCAATAGGCTTTCTACAATCACTTCCATTTCAATACCCATTGTTTCGTGTTCTGTCTTGTGTTGATGAAATTAATACCCTATTAATGCCACCTCTTGTTCTGTCTTGTGTTGATGAAATTAATAACCTATTATTGCGACCTCACCCCATCCACCTCACTCAAATGTAGATATAAACAAAATTGGAGATGTGTAAGTTCTATTCAGTTGTGTATTTGTAAACTAAAGTCTTTGAAAATGTAATAAGTTTTACGAAACGCGCTCGTGTTGCGTCAGACTAGAAATAAAAATGAATTTTGGAGAATTGATTTTTGAATTACCTCCAAAAGTGAAAACAAATGTATGAAAGATTGAGAAAATTCGTGTTAGAATTATTAATCTTACTTTTTCGGTCATATTTAATAATATATGTCTACAGGAAAGACTGCTACCAAAATATAATAATATATATATATATATATATATATATATATATATATATATGCACAGACTACCCTATTCCAGTAGCTGAAGTTTATAACTTTTTAGACACTCAACCCACCAGGGGACTCGACCACTGGCCAACAATGTGGCAGTGTAGTGGATACAGCGTGCAACTGCCACCTTGTTGGCCAGTGTTCGAGTCCCCTGGTGGGTTGAGTGTCTAAAAAGTTATATATATATATATATATATATATATATATATATATATATATATATATATATATATATATATATATATATATATATATATATATATATATATATATATATATATATATATATATATTTTGGTAGCAGTCTTTCATGTAAACATATGTTGTTGAATATGACCGAAAAAGTAAGATTAATAATTCT